AAATGTCCTTCCTTCTAACACCTGTAACATATTCTCTTTCCCGCCCAACACGGCCCAGCATGACTCCTTTTACAAGAGGGGCACACCGGAGAAACATTCTGCCTTTGCACAAGCTGCTGGTGTCCCCTCGAGGGTTGACTGGAGGAGAACGATGCAAATTTCCTCTTGACCCCCGAGCTGGAGCCCATCACCTGTTGAGACTGAGGCTCCTCAAGACATTTATCCATAACAAACGCACACCTGACTGCTGCTGCATAAGTAGTTGGCTCCTTGAGAACAAGTAGCCCCTTGATCTCCCTACGCAAACCGTCAATGAACTTGTCAATCTTTAATTGTTCAGTAGGAATATATTGCATTCCAAAACGGGACAACTCAGTGAACTTCCTCTCGTATTGGGCCACAGTTAGGCTCCCTTGAGTGAGACGGAGAAACTCTGCCCATTTTTCGTTCCTGACAGTCACGGGGAAATAGTACTCAGAGTACTCCCCGGACCTTGAATTCGTCAGAGCATCCCAAATACACATAAAGGGCTTCCAACTCCTTGACCCATTCCTCGGCCGCAGTAGGCCTCTCACTCACCCCGTTGAAAACGGGTGGTCCGAAGCGTTTGAAATCCCTGATAAACTGGACCTCGTCTTGTTGAATCTGTGCCGGACGAGGCTGCTGCGCCTGAGCCCCACCGGCTTCATTCGCATTAACCAGCAATACTTGCAATGCCTCAGCTAGTAACGCCACCTGGGGATTCACCTGGGGAACTCCCTGAGGTGCTGCCTGCGGGACCGGGGGTGTTACCCCTCCAGGAACTGCCGGGGGAACATTTGGATCCGCTGCTTCCTCACCCCTAGGGTTCGGATCCTCGTAGTTGTGAGCTCTCGTGTTTCGTTGAAAAGCCATTGTCTAAAGGAACAGAGAACAGAGCACCAAGGTCATTAACACACTAACCGGGGCACAACACAAGTGCAAAATTCAAGCAAAGTCTACATAATGAATCAAAGAAACACACTGACCTATCTAGTATCAGTCAATAATAATATCTCAATCATAAGCAATGTAAGACATTCATGATCGAACATCCAGAACTCGAAAACGTACCTGGTGATGACGAGGAGACTGACAAGGACCGTACACTGATGAACTAGATTCTAGGACAGTCTACAGAAACAACTCCGCTTTGATACCAATTGTAACGATCCAGAATTTCCCGCACACCTCTAGGTCACATTAACTACCCAACTAATAAAATTTAACCCCGACTACATCCTGTTGTTGAATGTTATTCTATGAAATTGATTTATCGCTAAATTGATGAGGATTGGAACTTGATTTTATATGTTTGTTGCATAGGAAGTTGGCAGGATGTAGTCGGGGTTAAATTTTATTAGTTGGGTAGTTAATGTGACCTAGAGGTGTGTGGGAAATTCTGGGTCGTTACAGGTCGTATCCATAGTGTTGCCAAGATTAGATACCGAACCTTATCCATATACTATAGACTCTTTAGGTTATTCCCGAGACATTATCCACTTGTATATCGAGGATATATCAAATATATACCCAGTATATATACTGTCCCGGTTACATGATAATAACCTTGGATATTTAGTTTATTGGATTTAGATAATGCAATGAAGTAAATTCAACATCTAATTGATTGAACAAGAAACCATAACTTTATTGAATATAAATTTGTTTTCACATAAATACAAACTACGAGATTAGGGCAACACACCCAACAGACCTTTGTCTTAAAGCTTTGTATAATGCAATTACAAGTTTGCCCCGACGTAGCATTGCTCAACTTTGCCCCAGTTTGAAAATTTATAAAGAAGACCTATTTTTGTAAATCTATGTTGATTGCCCGAGTCATTGAACTAAAACTTGTCATGACGTTAGACATTTCATATATATATATATATTTTTTTCTTTTTTTTATTTAATTTTTTTTGGCCAAACATACTCTTCTTACAAGCAAAATATGGTGCTTACATATAAAACGTCGATCATGCATAAATCACCTTTTACAATCCTAACTGTTGCTCTAAATTATTTCTCTGTTGTTGTTGCTTTAGTATCATGATGAAATTGTTCTCAAGCGAAACTCATCCAAAAAGACTGAGATCTTGAGACTATTTGTCAGGTCGCTAACTTCCCAATTCTCAAAATTACTATCCTCAATCTTGGAATCATTGTTTACTCAAAAGAAGAGAAGAGACAAGGGATTGGGCTAGAAGAACAAGATGAAATAGAAAGTGAAAGAAGGAAGTCAAAATAGGGAAATTTTTGAGCAAGTACAACTGAAGAAGTAAATCATAAGAGTCCAATGTTATTTTATTACTTTTAAAGTTCTGAATATTATGTGGGTAATTTTGAAAGTTTATCACATAATTGGATGTGGTAGGCCTAGTGAAAGGTTTTTATGGTAGGCAGACATATATGAATATTCATCACAAAAATTGTATGCGACGG